GATCAACCAATCATAATTTACAAAATCACGAAATGATCTACACAAAATTAACCAATCAAACGAACTTCTTCCTATGAATTAAATCCGGATCCAGGTATTTACTCCACACACAAATACATATAAAAAACCATAAACCCGAAAGCAAAAGCGAACAATTTAATTATTTTGACATTTAATTTCTGAATATTATTAAAATTGAGATCAAATATATGTATATAATTTCTGGATAATTTCAAGCATATAATTCGTATAATAAATTTATGTTAGAAAACACATTTCCATTAATATAAGATCGATCATTTTAAGTAAATCTAAAATTGCTTTACAAGTACAATACGTACTAATGCTATGATTTATAAACATTCTATATTCATTTGATATTAAGGACATATTCATTTAATTAAAAAATTCAAATTTTAATAAACATTTCACCAGACAAATAATGCTTTTTCTCTAAGACATCTCACACCCAATTCCTCCCATTCATTAGAATTGATCCATAATTCATTTACAATTTCCAATTTACTCATTACAGATCCACCTTTCCATGCAAGTAATCTTGGATCTAAATCACGAGGCGAGCCAAGAATCTCAAATTTGTCAGTAAATGGTAGTGTCCGTGAAAATATGCTTATTTTTATAGAAAAGAATTTAATTAAAATATAGGAAAAAACAACAACGAAAGACAATGATAAAACATACCGATTCTCTAACATTTTATGAATCCCCGAAATGAGTCCTCCGCCACCAACAAGTAAAATGCTTCCATAAAATTTCTTGGCCCTTTCTTCCGTTGCTGCGGCATTAATACTTTGAATTATAGCATCATCAAGCGGAAGCGTAGACACCGGATCTACAGAAGAGGTATTATTAACGCGTGGTACTGATGGCGTTGCAGAGGTAGGTGAAGGTCCATTTGTTGGTGCTGCTGAGTTATCGAGTCTAAGAGGTGTCATTGGACCAGGACTATCACGCTGTTGTGGTGATGGTGAAGGAAAAGAGGTTTTGGCTTGTGTTGCTTGCGTTGCAACGGAAAGTTTAGGCTTTTGCATTACTAAACTTGGCGAAAGCTATTAAGAAATATGTAAATATCGTAATCCGAAATTATTAATGCCATCATATAATATAAATCAATAGCGTACCCCCGTGGAAGTATTAACACCTTCTGTTATATCATCAATCACATGAGACGTGAATTTAGGGGGAAATTCAACAGATTTTTTATGAAAATTGATTATATGAGGATAAAAAAGGCTCTAGGAAATTAAATTAATTAGTATATTGGATATGACAATACTTAAAATGTAAATCAAGATCGCATACCATAGGTGAAATAATAGCATCATCATATGTTTTGATTTGATATTTCAATGTCGGTTGATTAGGTGCTCTTACATAAAATTCATTCAATTGGATTACAAGATTAGCCTTAAATAAAAACACGTAAATTTAGAACATATCAGAAATTCAAATATTAACCGATTTTAATATAAATCTTACTTCATCCAAAGTACAGAATTTTTCCTTCATTTCTTCAGCCAACATCCAATCATACATACGATTTAAATCCATTTCAGTATATGGAAATTTACTCTTTCGCAAAAGCCTTATAAAGAATGTTGTGATATCATCGCCTCCATAGCGCAGGCATATCCTATAAACAAGTTATAAAGCACATATTTCAATCATTACCATACAGCCTACAAATCGTTTGAATATATATCTGATCACACCTTGAATCTGGAATGCACATCCCATCTTCCACACAAGCAACGGTGGATGTTTGAGCACCAATATCCACAATACATGCAACTGATATACCGGCACCAAAACTCACACAAACTGATTCTTGCGCTACAAAAACACAGCGAAATCCCATATAGCGTAATAACATTGTTATCATCTCTGAGACGTATAGACGATTATAGATATCAGGAATAATGAGTATTATGGAATACAACTAATGTATATAAAAAGAGATAGTGCAAATGTTGATATAATGACACGTCAAAATTTGATCAATATATTATTACGTACCTTAAAATTCTTCGAGGTGATCCCAAGCTTTTCCGTTATCGTAGTGGTCCAAATTGTTTCCAAATCTCCAACAACTGCTTTAATAGAATTATAATCCCTGGTATTAAATTCACCATGCTGTATCGGATAGAATAATTTAAAATGATTCTCTTTATCATGGAGACGAAGTGCCTAACAATCATAATGACAAAGATCAATTACATTGATATTTTAAATTTCTATCAACTATACCTAATCATAAAAATTCATACCTTTCGCCTACCTTTTCCCCAACATAATAGTCCACATTTTCGTCAACCACAGTCCAATCAACCTTATAAGGGTCGTTATGATCTGCAATTGTTTCCGGATGAGCTGACTTATTAAACGATAAAACTTGTGCTTGTGCATTAGCCACTGGTCGTCTTTTTGAAGTTTTCATTCTATCTTTCAACTCTTTTCTTATCTCATTTAAAACCTGTGTGAATTGTTCCTTTTAATCGAAATCAAACAAATAGATAGGGTGAGTTGGAACAACATAGGCAGTGAAATCCATAAATGCAACATTATCACATCAATTATTGATGCTAAACCTCATCTTCTTCTATTTCTTCCATCATAGCCGGTGAACCCACAGATCCGGACCAATTCTCACCACTATCTGACTTTGAATCATCATTTTCCATTGTTATATCATTATTTTTTTCAACTGATATTTTTGTATCTTCAATATTTGTACTCATGTCTTCTTGCATGTCCTCTTGCCTGCTTCTTTGTTTGTCTTCTTGCTTGTTCTCTTGCCTATCTTCTAGCCTATCTTCTTGTTTGTCTTTTTGTTTATCTGTTTGCTTGTCTTCTTGTCTGTCTTCTTCTTTGATTACATGTTTTTCCTCATGTCTTTCACTTTTCTTTTCATAGTTCATCTTTCGCGCAATAACGTGTGGAACTACATAGGGGAATGCTTCTGATGCACGTCCAATCCTTAAATATTTTGATCCAGGATGTATTACCAAGACTTTTGATCCTTCCTGTTCTGGCTACAAAAACAGACACAATTAAAGACCTTGAATCAAGGAATCTTGATATGTAGAAAATATCATTCTACTACCTCTTCTTCCTCTGTAGTAGCATCCTCTTCATCCTCATCCATCTCGTCTTCATTCTCCTTTTCTTTCACCACTTCTTTTTTAATTTCTTCTCTTTGAAAGTATGAAACGTCATGTCTTAAAAATTTTGAAGTTACGTACTTTGTTACTATCGGTGCCTGCGCGGCAAAATTAGTAAACTTTAACTGTGGTGTGTATAGTCTATCTATATTATCATTTTGATTTGATTTTGGATTATGTTGTTGAGATGTTTTTTGAGATTGAGGTTGAAAGTAAGTCGGCAGCTGGGGCTGAGACTGTTCATTAGGAGTGTCTGTCGCGTTACCGGTAGGTTGTGAAGTTTCCATTATCGCTTAATAAAAAAAAAAAAAAAAAAACTTGACTGGATTATATCTTTAAAGACAGAATATTAGATCGATTAATTCTTCTGATGTGAATTACATGGCGATAGCGATAGATCCTACCGATCTGTCATATTTCTGATTGGACGAAATCGATAATTTAACATTATTATATACAATTACTGACCCAAAATCGATGAAATTTTTTTTTTATTTCAATTCTACTCATTTGTTGAGTTGAAATAAATTAATTTTTATTGACTTTAGATGGGTATTGTTGAGATATCTTCTCACAAAGTGAAAAAAACTTTGGACGATTATTAAACAGAAACTGCGCCTAAATTTTTGAGATGTCATGCTATAATAGTAGGTTAAATGATTTTGCTTAAATTTGTTTTCTAGGCTTATTTGACAATAAAGAAGTTGTCAGTGTAATTTCACAAATTCTTTAGCATTTGAAGGTTCTTTCTGTAAAATTTAAAGTTTCTCTTTTGGCTTCAAATTTCACTGATTTTAACTTCTCTAAAGCCTTTAATTGTATCCAAACTTTTTTGCCAATTTCGAATTCTGGTCTGATTCTAGCATTGAAGTATTTTTTTTGTTTCTGTTACAACTTTTCAATATTAAGTAACTTAAGCTTCTTTTTGTAATGTGGTCATTCTTTTTATTAGTTCATAGTTTTGTTGTAATATATTATACTATTCTGTAGGTTGATTTTTATATCAGGGTCTGGTATTGGTTTGATAGAGATAATAGTTTTTATTAGTAGAGTGGCTTGTCTACTATAAACTAGTTGAAAAGGTATATAACCAGTAATAACAGGTTTCTTGGTTTAATATATCAAAAGAATGCATTTATTAATTTCCTCTCACAGTTGTGATTGGCTGAGATTATTCATGCAAATTTACATATTACCTTTTAAATAAAATGTGACACCTCAGTTAGGGTTTGGGGTTAGTGTTAATAAGTGACATGATACTAAAATTTTGCAAGAAGTTTTTTTTGTTAGTGTATAAAAGGTGATTTCTTAGAGAAGTTTTGCGATAAGTGTAATTTTTCAAAAAAAAAGTGATTGTTGTTTTGATTGTTATATAACACCTAATTTTGCATCCTGATTGGCCAATATCACAACTGTAGAGAAAAATTAGTAAATGCAAAAGAATAGCAAGTATATGTAAATCTTATTTATCAGTTTTCTTAACCTTGGTGAGTAATTCATAAAGTGTTCTGTTAAGATATTCGATCATTTCATTAGTTTGTAAGTGGTATAGTAAAAAGAACTTGTGTTTGATAAAAAACTTTTCATATAATATTCAGATAGTTTTACTAATAAAGTTTTTTTCTTGATTTAATAAAATTATTTTGAGAGTTTTATGTTTATAGATAATTTCTTCAAAGATAAATTTTGATAAAGTTTTAGCTCTAACATTTAGTACAGTTTAGACTTTTAGCTATTAGTTTAATTGGTGATTCACCAGTCAACCAGAGAAGATCTGCAAATTTTTATAAGTAAATTTTATTATTGAGCCAAATGTGGAGTGCACCAATTTAAAACTTTTTTCTTACTAAGTAAATCACTCTTGGACTTATAACAAAAGTTGTAGAGCTCATCAAAACGCATCTAATAGTGGTAAGAATATTAAAATTGGCCTGGTAGTTCTTGAGAAATCTTTAAAAACGTTTCACTGACATATAAAATTTCTTTAAAAAAAATTAATTTTTTTTAAAGAAATTTTATATGTCAACAAAACATTTTTTAAAGATTTCTCAAGAACTACCAGACCAATTTTAATGTTATTACTACCATTAGATGCGTCTTGATGAGCTCTACAACTTTTGTTATAAGCCCAAGAGTGATTTACTTAGTAAGAAAAAAGTTTTAGATTGGTATACTTCACATTTAGCTTAATAGTAAAATTTACTTATAAAAATTTGCAGATCTTCTCTGGTTGACTGGTGAATCACCAATTAATATTATTAACACAGCTAAATAACTCTTTTATATTGTTAACTATTTAAACAAAAAAAATTCAAATTTTTCAAGTTATTAACACTAAAATCACAATGTTTACATTAAAAATCTTAGTTATGTTTACATAAAAATTGTACTAGGCTATTAATAATACGTAAAATATAAGAATATCAATTTTTTTTTTAAATATTATTAGTCACACTGCTTTAATACTGCTCTAACAAAATAAATTAATAATGTAGATCATTTTGATTGTTTGATCAACGAGTTCTATACGATCATCTTACATTAGACCTAAAGATTTACAAATTTAGTGTGAATATTATGTAATTTTTTTAAAGCTATAATTAAGTCTATGATAAATATGTAAACCAGGTTTATCTAAAGCTATCATTTCTAGCTTCATATTGATAACAACCTCTGATATAAGATAAATCATCCTATTAGTATTCTAATTTTGATAAATTAAAAATTTTATATTATTCAGAAAGAAATGCATGTTTTGTAAGTCTATTCACTAAAACATACTAATTTTAGAATTTAAACTATACAAATTACTCTTGTACTTGTTAAGTTACCGATAGGTTTAAACTCAACATAGTTTTATAATATCTTACAATTTAACTGATTCAAAAATTAATTAAAGAACTTGAAATCATAGTTATAGTACCTGAACAAGTAGAATGCTTTTCAAGAAAGCCTTAGAAATTAAAAGACTTTAGCTTCATATAATTCAGTCTATTGGTTTAGATTAATAAAAAAAAATTCA